TGTCGGGGAGATTTCAGGGCACTCAGTCGATTATACAAGCATGGGTACGCGCGCACCTCATGTTGCCCCGCATGCACATGTGAACACTGCAGCTAATAGCACATATCATGGGGTCGTGAGGGACGGGCTGAGGAACAAGACCAGCCCATGGGCAGGGCAGACGTGCGTGGCGCCGCCGTGCGCTCTCGCGGGTCTTGTGCTTGGACTCGCGGGATGGCGCGCAGGTCTTGTTTTCCTCCCGTGCCTCTGCGCGATGGCAGCTGCCGCTGGTACATCGAATCTGGCACGCTCGATCTGGTGCAGGGTGGTATCTGCACAGACGGGGCGTGTCGCAAGGTGGGGGTATTGGCCACAATCTTGCAGAGCAGGATGGGCATTCGTCAGGTACACAGTTCGCTCGATAGGCACATGGAGCGTTCTTGCAGGTTCAAAACGTGTGCATTTTGCCGATGCACGGTCTTGCGGAGTTCCTGGTGCTCGTTGAAGGCCTTGACTTAGGCTCCAGTTTTTCTTGCGGGCCTCGGAAGCCACACACCGACCTCTGGGAGGCCATCTGGCGCAACATCGACGACCATGGAGGCCTTGGAGAGGCCATTCGTGGCTCACATGGGGACTCCATCGAGGCCAGATCCAACATATGGGCTGGCCTTGCCGCCACCAGGAGCAGGGATCCGCATTCCGCCACGGAGGCTCAGCTTAAGGCCACGCACACTGCCATGATATTCACCCGTGCGGCATTGCATGTGTTTTGTCACAGCACACTCGCATCATTTGTCTTTTTGACGTGTTGAGGAGTTTCGTCGCCCTCGCACGCTGAAGCTTAAGGTGCCGGGTAAGCCAGTTGAATTTCTCCCAGAAGAGGCCGCTGGGAGCACTAAGCTTTGGCGTTGCTCATTCTGCAGCTAAGGGGTCAAGAGCGAGACGGCCATGGATCGCTTTAGCTTGACCGCGTGCTTTGCGCGAGTTTCCGTGGCATATCGCGGAAGCAAACTTGCCTGCGTCTCTCCGTGTGTTTCATATGTCCCGCACGCACACACCCTTCGGCCTTGCCAGGCACCGAGGCTGATGGGGCGGCTTTGCCCTCCTCCCTGGACCCATGGGCTCCCCATGACTGCGCGGGCGCGTTGGGGGAGAACAGGCGCAAGCGGGCGAGTGCCGAAGGGCATCCCAGTGCCCGCGCTGTCTGGCCCAGGCTCGCCCCGACCCTGGTCTGTGTCCGCTCCCCCGAGTCAGCGCGTGGCGGGGCTCTTGGGCCCCGTGTGCAATTCGCCGCCAGGGCGTGCGGTCGTTCTGATGATTCTGCTGCCCTCGCTGGTGCCGTTGCGGCCGTTGATCCCGAGTGCGGCGATGACTTGCCCTTGTCAGGTGGTGTGATTCCTGGGAGGGTCGGCCCTGCTTTTCTCCCCACGGGTGAAAGCAAGGGGAGACGGGTGGCCCAAAAGGGCCGCCCGCCTTTGTTTCAGGCCGCTGCGCCATGCCTCTCCCGAGCGCGGGGATCGTCGGGCCCGAAGGGGTTCGAGGCCACCGATGTTGGGTTTCGGAGGGTGTGGCTGTGCGGGCGTATGTCTCTCGATTGCCCCCTCCCCGACCCTCGCGACATGAGCCAACGTGCCGTTCGTAATCGTGAGCTCGTCCTGGCTGGACTCCACCCAGCGGGCGAAGGCCAAGCTGTCTCCAGGAGGATTCCGCACCCACGCCCACTGACCTCGACGGGCCCCGAAGTGGTGTGGGGTCACAGTCTTCCCGTGTGCGCCTCCGCTCGCATGTTTGTGCTTGCGGCTCGGCGGTCGAGCGGAGCGCGTGCGCGCGCTCCCTCGGCCCGCGCTTCAGGCTGAAGGACCGCTACGCCGCCGCTGCTCGCTCCCACCCCTGTGCCGTGGTCCTCTCGGTGGGCAGTGGGTGGCCTTTTCGGGCGAGGGGGGGGGGCAAAGGCCCCTCCCACGGAGAGGTGTGCGTCCTGGCGCCTCGCGCGACGCTTCCATGCAGAGTCGTATCCTCCTCCATGTTGAGAACGGCGCCTGCCCATTCCATCGTCGTGCGCTTCTCCTCCTCCTCCTCCTCCTCCTCCTCCGCCTCCACCTCCTCCTCCCTGCTGCTCCCTCCGCTCCCCCCCCTCTCTCTGTCTTGTAGGTACTACTCCTGGTCGGACCCCCAGACGTGTGGGTAGGGCGGGCCAGGCGTTTCGTCTGAGACTTCCTCACCCTTTCTGATCCTGAGGTTCGAACTTCCCGACCTTTGCACGAATGGAGGGGTGTCGCTTTGAACATGGGGCTCTCGCCTTGGGGGCCGCGCGCAGTCGTTGTACATGTGCAGCAGTTGCATGGATGGGGGGACAGTTCTCAAGATGGGGCTCTCCCCTTGGCACCGCGCGCTCGTCTTCAACACTTGCCACAATTACAAAGATGGGCGGTGTCGTTTTCAAGGTGGGGCTCTCGCCTCAGCGCCGCGCTTTCCGTTCTAAATTGTTGCAGCGGTTGCAAGGATGACCGGACGGGTGGTTGTTTGAAAACGGGGAGTTTCGCGCGCTGCCATTATCGTAGGATTGATGGGTTCCTTTCCAGGATGAGACCTTCACTTTAGCGTCACGCATACTCGTTTAAAGTGTTGCAGCCAATGCCTGGATAGAACGGTGATCGTGTTCAAAAGCCGGCTCTCGCTTTAGCACCATGCGCTTCATGTTGTGCGAAGATAGGTTTCACGGGACGCGTGCGGAGGGGGGTTGGAACGGCAGGATTTATTTCAGTATCGTTGGTGCATCCTGTGTTGATTCTGGTCCTGCACCTCCTCTCCTCCTCCTCCTCCTCATCACCATCGTCTCGTCATCACCATTATCGTCATCATCATCTCCATCATCATCACCATCATCATCACCATCTTCGTCAGCATCATCATCATTATCATCATCGTCGTCATCACCATCATCATCATCGTCGTCATCATCATCAGCATCATCAGCATCATCATCTTCACCAACACCATCATCATCATCATCATCATCATCATCATCATCATCATCATCATCATCAACAGCAGCAGCAGCAGCAGCAGCATCAGCAGCATCATCATCATCATCATCATCATCATCATCATCATCATCATCATCATCATCTTCATCTTCATCTTCATCTTCATCTTCATCTTCATCTTCATCTTCATCCTCATCCTCATCATCATCGTCATCATCATCGTCGTCATCATCATTACTATCATCCCTCTCTCCCTCCCTCCCCCCTTTCCCTCCTCCTCCGCCTCCTCCTCCTCGCCTCCTCCTCCTCCTCCTCCTCCTCCTCCTCCTCCTCTCTCCTCCTCCTCCTCCTCCTCCTCCTCCTCCTCCTCCTCCTTCTCCTCCTCTCTCCTCCTCTCTCCTCCTGCCTCCACTCCCATCCTCTCCTCCCTCCTGCTGTTTCTGCTCCCCTGCTCCGCCTGCCCCTGCTCCTCCTCCTTCGCCCCCCTTTCAATCATCCTCCCTACTCCTTCCTCTTCCCTTCCCTTCCTCCTCCCATTCCTTTTTCCTCTTCCTTCTTATTCCTGCTTGTCCTCGCTTCTCTTCCTTCTATGTCTTCTCCCCTCCTTTCCTCCTCGCTCCCCCTTCCTCCTTTCTCCTCCCTCTTCTGGCCTTCTCACTCCCCTTCCCAAAGGCTTGCTCGATGCGCCGGGAGAAGAATTCAGCGGGCTCAGTGCAAGAACGCACATGAGCACGAGAGCACAGCCTCAGGGGGGTACAGAAGTCCCGTGCGACGGTCGCTTGCCAGTTTGCTATCGAATGCGCTGGATATTGCCATATGTGCGCAAGGACGTCCTCACCTCCAGCTCCGCGCTTTCATAGTGCCTCCCCTGTGCCTTTTGGAACTGTGCATCGCCATGCTCGTGTTGAAAGAGAAATGCGGCACCGTGATCTTGACGGAGTTGTCCAGGGAGTTCTGAGCGGCACGCCCCCCGTGCACTGCATGCAACACGTATACACTCGACACCCTGCTCTAGTACGAATGAGGAGTTCTCAACACTGTGTGGGAGTACCATGCTTCGAGCTCTGTGGAATCCTTGATGCGTGGAACCTTTTGGTCTGGAAGCAATGCAACTGTTTGTCAGTTGCACGCGCGCCGAAATCTCAGAATTGCGCAGGAGTCCAGAATTGAATAAGGCCACGTTTTTGCTAGATTCTCGACTTCAGCCCTGGCAGCGTGGGGCCATGGTTGGATTTACGTGGAGTGCGCCCCGTGCGCGGATGCGAGGCTGCGCGGGCCCGCTACAGAAGGTCGCTTGGGTCACCTGCATTGCCCAGACCTCCCGCGTCCTGATTTTCCCAACACGGGGCCCCCAGACGTCTCGACCCCTCAGGGCTGCTGACGGTCCGACTCGATCCGATTCGATCCCCCAACTTCGATTCCGATTCCGGTCCGATCCGATCTGGTTTGAAACCTCGATCCTCGGTCGTCGTCGTCGTCGTCGTCGTCGTCGTCGTCGTCATCGGCTGCGTCGTCGTCGTCGTCGTCGTCGTCGTCGTCGTCGTCGTCGTCGTCGAGATTCGAGGACCGAGGTTCGAGCTTCGAGGAATGCGTAATTTTTGCGTTTTTGCTCAGCCTCCGGGGGCTCCAGAGGCCTCAATGACCCTCGTGGCCTCTGGGGTCTCTGGGGACCTCCAGGCGCTGTCGGGGTCGCCATCGCCGTCGCCGTCGTCATCGCCGTTGACGGTCGCCGTTGACGGTCGCCGTTGACGGTCGCCGTCGCGGTCGCCATCGCCGTCGCCGTCGCCGCCGCCGTCGCCGTCGTCGTCGTCGTCATCGTCATCGTCGTCGTCGTAGTCGTCGTCGTCGTCGTCGTCGTCGTCGTCGTAGTCGTCGTCGTCGTCGTCGTCGTCGTCGTCGTCGTCGTCGTCGTCGTCGTCGCCTGGACCCGCCGCCCCGCCCGTCACCGTGGCCGCCGCCGCCGCCGCTGTCGCCGCCGCCGCCGTCGCTGCCGCCGCCGCCATCGCCGCCGCTGCCGCCGTCGCCGCCGCCGAGGCCCCGACGCCGGCGGCCCCGCCAGACGGGCCGTGCTCGCTGTCCGTGGAGCGGGCGAGCGGCGGGCCCCGGCCCGCCTTCGCCCGCCGCGCCCCAGCTGCGGCCTCGCCGCCGCCGCCGCTCGGCTTCGTTCGCCAACGTCGCCGTCGCCGTCGGTGCTTCGCCAGCGCCTCGCGGCCGCCGCTCGCCGGCGTCGCCGCCGCCGCTCGCTGCCGTCGCCGCTCGCAACCGCCGCTCTCCGCTGCCTCGAGGTTCGAGGCTCGGGGGTCGAGGCTCGAGGCTCTCGGGGGTCTCTTGGCCGTCTCTGATCCTCCCGGGCCCCCCCCCCACCTCGGCTGGGTTCCCCTTCGGGATTTTGGCCAGGACGCATCTCAGGGGAGGTCGAGAGGGCCGTTGTCGTCGGCGCCGCCGTCGCCGTCGCCGTCGCCGTGGCCGTCGCCGTCGCCGTCGCCGTCGCCGTCGCCGTTGCCGTGGTCGTCGTGGTCGTCGTGGTCGTCGTGGTCGTCGTCGTCGTCGTCGTCGTCGTCGTCGTCGTCGTCGTCGTCGTCGTCGGAGGAGGAGGAGGAGGAGGAGGAGGAGGAGGAGGAGGAGGAGGGAGGAGGTAGGACCCTCATTCTACACCTCCTCTTCGGTCGGTCGGTCAAGCTATCGGCGATGCATGTTGGCAGCCACTCGGAATGGAAAACCGTTCAAAGGGGAGAGGGGAGAGACATCAAGAGTCAACAGTCCCAGAAGGCACAGCCCACTCCTCGCAGGACTTGGCCCCCACCCCACGGTACATACGGCATACGGGTCCTCCTCCTCCTGGGCGTGCGTGCACGCGAAGGCTTTTCGCATTGCAATTTACATTCGATGTTGCCCCATCGTCCATCCTAAATCTGAATTCGTACCATCCCAGCCCAACCAGTATCGGCCCCCCCCGCCATCCTCTGCACACGAATTATATGCGCGCACGCTTGTTTATCACAAACTATCACTTTTCAAGATCCCCTTGCAACAAGAAAAACATGACGAAGTGCGCACGCGCGCGTCGTCGCGCGCGCATGCCGAAGTCAGTGAAAGACCTTCGTTTTCGTTAGGATTCCAAAATCGAATGTCCAACAGACATATTAAAACGCAGGGTTTCGCAACACGGATCTTCAAATTAAGCTTGTGCGCGCGTTCTTGCGAATTCTTAAGAAAACAATGGTTTTTCAACATGTGCAGAACATGCTATCAAACGGGTTTCGCGCGCGCATGTCGAAATCGTTCGAACGCCCATGCGCGCGTGCCGTAGCGAGAATCCTTTGCAACAAGTTGGACGAAGTGCACGCGCGCGCGTCGTCGCGGGCGCATGCCGAAATCCGTCAAACAAACTTGGTTTCGTAACGATTTCAAGACCGAGCGTCAAAAACATTCAAAAACCGACGATTTCGCAGCATCAGTGTTCAAAAAGCGTGAGCTCGCGCTCTTGCGAATTCTTTGGAAAACCATAGTAAAATATATATATTATTATTTTCAAAAGATCATGGAATTCTGCCAGACGGACCGCTCGCGCCGCATGCCGACATCATTCGCACGCCCCTGCGCGCGTGCTGGGGGGGCACGATCCGTGCCAAATAATACGATGCGGGCCACTCTCGCCCGTCGGCCGCGCGCGCATGTCGAACTCTTTCCAAATCCTTCATCGCCGACATCGTCGACATCGTCGTCGGCGTGATCAGCATCGGCGCCCGCACTGGCCGCGCCTTCGTCGTTGTCAGCATCGTCAACGGCATCGCATCGCTACTATCATCCTCGTGCCTATTGTTGTCGACGTCGCCATGATGCCGCGCCCGCCCAACTTGCCGACTTGCGCTGAAGTGCCCGCTGGGATGTGCTCAGTGGTCAGCGCCACCGCGGCCGCGTCGGTCGCGCCAAACTAGCTGGCCGCTGCGCGCGCGCTTGGGTTGGCGCGGCCGCAGAGATGCACCAGCTAACGCCAAGCATGCAGCGCAATCGCCACCGCCTGGGTTTTTTTAAACCAAGTTGCGGGTGGGTGGGTGGGATGTTATCAAGGGTATGGGGTGTGTCAACTCGTTTGTTCAATCCAATTACGCCACATACATAGCTCCACATCTATGAACCAACATATATTGCACCACGTAGATCGCACAACGTAGTTCGCACGTTATTGCGCAGCATAGGTGGCACAATTTTGATCACGCCACATGCTTCACCACGTAGATTGAACCGCATAGTGTTCCACATGCGTTGCACCACATATGTTGCTCCACATGGAGAAGCCCATGCTGGCTAACACATTTCTGTGGGCGGTGCCTGGTGGTACGAAAGACCCCCCCTCCCGGGGGCTTTCGTGCGGCTGACAGCCGGGTGCGGCTGACAGCCTAGAAGCCCCACTCCTCCCCCTCCCAAGGGGCTTTCGTGCCAGGCGCACCGGGTGCCGCCGACGACCCGTCCCCCCCCTGTGGGAGTAGGGGGGGTCCTGCTTTGGGCGTGGGGGTGGGTCTGTGGGGGCGGCGTCCGCGTGGGGGTATGTCTCCTTGTGGGGGGGGGGAGCGGGGGAGCAGGAAGAGGAGGAGGGGGAGAAGGCGGAGGAGGTACAGACGAACTCCCTGCGCGTCGAGGCGCCGCAGGCGCTAGAAAGAGCGCTCCGGGCGCTCCCGCGCACCCCTGGGGGGACCGCAGGAGAAGGCGGAGAGAGATGAGGAAGGGAGAAGGGGAGTGCGAACCCCCGCGCACCTAGGCGCCGAGGGCATTCGCAAACGCTCCCCGAGCGCTCCCGCTCCTTCGATGGAGGCCGCAGGGGGAGATGGAGGAGCAGGAGGTGGAAGAGGAGGAAGAGGAGGATGAGGACGAGGCGAAGGAGGAGGTGAAGGAAAACGCGCTCCCCGCGAGCATCCCGGGGGCTTTCGCACCAGCTCGCACCAGCGGTGCGCGGAGGACCCCCCTGGGACTTTCGTGCGTCCCAGGGGCTTTCGTACCAGCCGCGCCGGCGGTGCGCCCAGCACGAAAGCCCCAGGACAGGCGATCCGGGGGGGGACTTTTGGTTTCGCACCGGGCACCGGCCAGACACAAATATATATATATATATATATATACATACATATATGCATATATATATATATATATAGACACATAAATTTATACACACATACACACATATATATACATATACATATATATATATATATATTCATTTCGCCTCCTCTCGTATCCTCTTCCTCTGTATTCGCCTCCTCATCCTTCTCCCCGTCCTCCTCGTTCTCATCATCCTCATCTTCCTCCCCATTCTCCACATTATTCCTCATTCTCTTTCTCCTCCTCGCTTGCCCCATCCTCATCATTCCCATCAATATTCATAATTCTCTTTTTCCTCATTCTCTTCATGCGCCTCCTCATTCTCAGTCTCCTCCCCATTCTCCTGATTCCTCTTATCATCCTCCTCATCCTCCTCCCCTCCTACATTCTCATCTCTCTTGCCTTCATACATGTGTCCTCGCTGCTTCTCTCTCTCTCTCTCACAATCGGAATCCTTTGGAACGCACCACACATGGATTCCTTTTGACAGCTTCACAACAGGAACCCAGTTAAAAATCACACACACACACACGCACGAAGAAGTTCCATTGGCAAGCCTCTCACCAGGATTCCTTTGGAGAGTACCACAGAGGAATTCTATTGGAAGGCCTCACAAGCGGAACCCTTTGGGAAGCACCACAGAAGGATTCTAGTGGGAAGCCTCTCAACAGGAATCTTTTGGAAAGCACCACAGGGGGGATTCTATGGGAAAGCCTCACAACAAGATTCCTTTGGAAAGCACCACGAAGGGATTACATAGGAAATCCTCACATTCGGGAACTCGTGGAAAGCGCCAGGGGGGGATTCGGTTGTAAAGCCTTTCAACAGGATTCATTTGGAAAGGACCCCAAAGGGGGATTCCTATGGGAGAGCCTCACAACAAGGACTTTTGGAAAGCACAACCGAGGAATTCGATTGGAACGCCTCTCAACAGGAACCCTGGGGAAAATGCTACACGTGGCTCCTATTGGGAAGCGTCACGAAGGGAATTCTTTGGAAAGCTTCACAAAAGGGCTTCCATAGGAAAGCTTCACAATCGCAATCCGTTGGAAAACGCAACAAAAGGATTCCATTTGAAAGCCTCACAACAGGAACCCTTTGAAAAGCACCACAAAGGAGTTCCAATGAAAAGCCTCTCATCAGGATTCCTTTGGCAAGCACCACAAAGGGATTCGATTGGAAAGCCTCACACCCGGAATCCTTTGGAAAGCACCGCAGAGGGAATCTAGTGGAAAGCCTCACAATCGGAATCCTTTTGGAAAGCACAGCAGAGGGATTATATGGGAAAGTCGCACAACAGGATCCTTTTGGAAAGCACCACAAAGGAGTTGCATTGGAAAGCCCCTCGACAGGAATCCGTTAGAAAGCACCACATAGGGATTAGATCGGAAAGCCTCTCAACCTGATTCCTTTGAAAAGCACCCCCAACGGGATTTTATTGGAAAACATCAACAGTGTAATCCTTTTGAAACACCACAGAGGGATTCCATAGGAAAGCACCGCAATAGGATTCCTTGGGAAAGCACAACAAAAAAGGAGTTCCATTGGCAAGCCTCACGAGCGGCACCTTTTTTTGGAAAGCACCACAGAGGGATTCTAGTGTAAAGCCTCTCTCAGGAGGATTCTTTAGGCGAGCATCACAGAGGGATTCTGGCGGAAAGCCTCACAATCGGAATCGTTTGGGAAACACCACAGAGGGATTCTAATGGAACGCCTCACGGGTTCCTTTGGAAAGCGCCACAAAGGAGTTCCATGGGAAAGTCTCACAAACGGAACCCTTTGGAAAGCACCAGATATGGATTCTAGTGCAAAGCCTGTCATCAGAATTCGTTTGGAAAGCGAGGGGTTCTGGTGGAAAGCCTCACAATCGGAACCTTCTGGAACTCGCCACAAAGGGAATCTATGGGACATCCTCACAATCGGAGTCCTTTGGAAAACAC